CCTCAACCAATAATTATTCATATCATACTCAGAATCTACCAATAATTCTTTTTATCATAATCAACCTCAAACAGAAAGTTATACCAATGGACATACCTGTGTCCACTGATAGCGGTTATTGATCCTGGCTATCCAGAAATTGTTCTTATTCAAGCGTCCAATGCGATAAGTGTTACTCCACTGTGAGGTCGATGTAACAGCAGATGACTTGATAACTCCTGACTGGAAACCAAAAGGCCTATTGCAGATTTCTGAATATATAAAATAAAGAAGATTAAAACTTGAATCAAACATTGAATTGCAATATAGCATACTCACTCTCGCATCTGATGCCTCCTCGGAGATCATCAAAGTTGATATGTCCCCAGCCTCCAGTGTGATAATCAACAAGCCTGATGAAACCAGTTCTACCCTTGTAGGCATGAACTGACCATCTCTGCCGTCTCATGGTCTCAGAGTTTCTACCAGCAGTCTTGTAGACAACACCCCGGCCGTGAATRACCAACTCTACTCTGACGTAACCCACATTGCTTCCTCCTCCAACCAGGAAATCAATATGGTTTCCTGTAATGCGGAAGCTGCGTGACATCAAAGTACCTCGTGGTCTGTCACCCTGTGGTGATTAAACAGAATACAATCATCATAAATAAAGATCAACTGAAGATTAAAAATGATTACTGAACAAATGAATTAAATTAAATGTATCATATACCCAATATAAAATAAATTTTTAATTTTTTAGAGTAGAACTTTTCATATAAAAATATACCTTGTCAACTCCAAAGGTCAAAAGTTAACTGACAATAATCTTGGTGTTTAAWTCCTTCTGATAATCTACACTAACTTGAACTTCATCAAACTKYTAAATATGACTCAAAACTTCTCCCTCAAAACCTAACACCCTGTGATTTAATGTTTGTTCAGTCTTCAGTTATAAAATTAATCTTAAAATCATTTTTATGATTTTTTGCAGATTCTTATTATTATGAACTGTCCAGATTAAGTATTGAGCAGAGAGACAACTATTTTTAAATATGATTAAAATACTCTGCAGTCTTTTCGTATAAATTGAATGTCATTGGAATTAAAACACTTATAATTCAACATCTTGGACACCCATCTACTTCAAATATTTATTAATTGTCATCTATATATATATTATTATTATTTTAGCGGGAACTGGAGTGGCCAAATCCCCATGGTACAATTTCCTGGCATTAAGTTCAAGGACATTATCAAAAGTCAATTAAAAAAATTGTGTGAAATGATTTTGGATCATACCTGGACGGTACCAGCCTTGTATCTGGTATTGGGACGCTTTTCAAAGGTTCCAATCCAGTACCTTCCCTGCATTTTTGCAGGCTGACCTCTACGCCTAGCAGTGGGGTTATCACCCAGTGTTGGCTGGAATTTGAATGCATCTCCTGACGGAGTCCATCCATATAAGTTTCCTTTTTCAAAATCGAAGTTTGTACATCCTGGAGGCACAGCTGTTAACAAAGGAAACAGAAATATATTCTTCTTAGTATTACAATAGCAAATACCAGTTTTAACCAAAGGAATAGAATTACTGGAAGCAATACCAGTAGAGTTTGCAATTAGACAACAGCAGTCACAAGAGAAAAACTCAGTCAACACTGAAAATTTATTGTGCCTAGTATCAACAATACCACATGACTCATAATTGTCTACATGTAACACTTTGTACTGTGACACAGCAAACTTGCGCCTCTATTGTACCACCAGAATCAACAGCAACAACAACAGCAGCAACAACAACAACAACAACAATAACAACAACAACAATAACAACAATAACAACAGCAGCAGCAACAACAACAACAACAACAACATAGAAACTGCAATTGAAACAGCAATTAAGGCAACAACTACTCACCCTCAGAAGCTGCCCATAACCTGTAGAGAAAAATATACAATTTATTTACAACTTGATCAACTTATAAGGATTTTAAAGCTTTTAAAAATTAAAACTAAATGCATGAGTTGACCTGTTTTTCGCTGTAGCACCATATATTAAGCTCATAAGCTTAAGCTTAACTTTTAATTTTAAGCTCAAAGCTGCTGATATTCTTAACAATATCTTTATCAAACAGTCCTGGGGCCAACAAGAATATCGACTTTGGGTGATTGTTCAAGATCTGTGCTTTTGTACCCAAGGAATCGAGGCCTCCGTGCCCCATAAGCTTAAAGCTTACAATATAATAGCTCAATAAGAACGCGATTTTATTACTAGCATCTTATTCAACTCGTSGTATTTTTAAGAAAATATTTTAAAGAAATAAGCTTACAACATATCAAGTCACGCGATGAAGTTTGACAAGAAATGAGTCAATGCGTGAAATCTTTTCGCCAAGCTCTCATTTATGCAAGTTTTTTATCTTTGTGCACTCAATTTTTACTTTATAGATGCAGAGATATTACCTGTACTTTCAGAGAAACAATAATTTCGTTTGTAATAGACATAATCAGCGAATAACTTCATTTTTCAGATGTTGACTTTCTTCRTCCTTCGCGCCTTCTTATACCACGTGAGAAAATCAACCAATCAGATTTCATTATATTTTTGATAAGTAACTTAAATTTCAGTTGAGCGAAAAWTCAATCAAAAGAAAATTGTAGTCGTAACTTCTAAAAAATGCTGTTTACTGAAATGTTTTTCTAACATTTTGTATTTCACAAAAAGTTATATAGCGGGGGAGGGGAGGGGTAAAATATTACATTTTGTGAAACATCTATTAATAAGTTCTAATATACGATTTAGCAAAATATGTTGTAAATATTTTGTACTTTTAGCACTCTCGATCTTATCTGCTGGCTCTCGGCCCGCGAATGTATGAAAACATCAACTGGTGACCGCAACACGTTTTGTCAGCTGTCACACAMAAAAAATGTTCCAACTCGTTAACAATCAAAATAGAAGAGACCTTTTTTTRGTGAGCTTTATCAAGAATCAATACACAACTAACATTTTTTGCACCATTTTAAAGCAAAATTTGAGTGTGCATGCGATATAAATCACAAGTTTTAGAATGATTTAGAACGTCCGCTTTTTGCAGAACAGTTGGATAGGGGGGAGGGGAGATGAATCTCAAAATTCAAGAAATCTAATCTTGACACGGGTATGTAATGCTCAATCTACTGCAGAATCCGGAGTATTAACAGTTGTAATAATAAAGAGCTAAACATTTTGATATTTTTCAACAGAGTTTTTATAAAATTGTTGTTGTTATATTTTCAACCAGCGAGACCTTCAACGTTTCATTGAAAGCACCAGCGAAAACATTTGGTACCTTGAATAAAAAACATAACAAACATGGAGAAAAATTCAAACAACCTTAAGTTACGTTGATTAAGTTTTGAATGATATGTAGAATTGTATGAAGAAAAGCTCTTAGAAGTCCTGAAAAATCATTATTTTTTCAGGAAGTTGATTATATTAGCTAGAAAGAATCCATATATCGCATTTATCGCAAGTTAAAACTACCACAACAGCAAACAGGTTTAGAGTAACTTTCTTGCCTCAATAGTTTTCATGGCAATTCCCTCTTTTAAGATAATTTTTAAAAGACAGAAGGCTACTATCTGGTCTAGTTGTAAATCCCACAGTTGTTTTACTTAACACAGCAACGTAGAATTGTCAATTCAYATAGTTTGATATATGCTTATTTTAAATGATTGATGACAAAAATTCCAAAACACTAAGAAAAATACAATTTCGCTAAAAAAATRAAATGTATCGCTTAAACCATTAATTATTTTGAGTTACTTAACTAAACTTAGTGGAAATGTTTCTCAATAAAGTCATCATAAAGATTTCATTTTTTGGTGTGACCTCATGTAGGTTATATATACTACGTTACTAGGTTAAGTAAAAATAATGGCGTTAATCGAACAGTATATAAGAAAGAACTAATATTTATCACCATTAGCTTRATTTGTGCATTCTAAAGAAGTATTTTAGACAAAATGATAACTCAGTTTAAATCATCTCTGATTTTGTCCCTTTTTGATCGACAATTTCAACGTTTTTCTGAGTGGTCCATCCTCAAGTAAAACGCTAATTACGTATTCAAAATGGCGGCCGAATTATCAAATTTTAGGTCAAAGAACAGAGTTAACTTTAAGAATGTAAGTCAATYGAAAGTTAATCAGAATCAACTGGTATTATTTATCTTTTATCAAAGGATCTAATAAAGTAAGATTGAAACAAAATCATCGTCGTTCAAGGCATTTCGGTACTTTGAAGTCTTTGAACAAAGGATGTCTATTTTCGCCAAAAATGACTTAATATAATTGATGCGCCCTTATTCAAAGACACGTTACAGTTTGGAAACTCTAAAGACTGTTTAACCAAACGTCATTCTATATCAAAATGGAGTCTTCAGGGAATTATAATGTTAAAATGAATCGTTATATATAATTTATATTCGAAAAGAACAATCAATGAACTCCCATTAATTCAAATATAGAAGCAGAAATAGTTTTATAACACGCTTATTAACTTTGCAATGTCTCTTTTAAACTTCTGGTTTTCAAAGTTATGCAATAAGCAAAGTGAAATCTTTCAATAAAAGTCTCAAATCGAAAGATATAATAATTTGAATCTCTTGATCTTCACTATATAATATAAAGACATTAGTACAGTCTAGATTAGTAAAGATTTCATCTCACTTTAAATAACTCTGAAGTAGTTTTCTTTACCATTTTTGTCTTCTAAAGTTATGCAATAAGCGAGAAGAAAGCTTTTTAGGGAAATTATAGTTGAAAGAAAAATCCAGATAACTGTCGCATTTAACAATGAAAAGAAAAAAGGTTCAAGAGTTTTACTTACAGGAATAGCAGCCATGCTGAGAGGCAGAGCTGCCGAAGCCACATGACTCAAACAGCKAACCTCCTCTTGAAATCTTTCTTCTCCCAAGGACGGAAGAGATTTCTCACAGAGCAACAATTAACATCAAGTTTTATTTTAAAGATAAAACACTCATTAAATATGGAAAACTATGAGCTCAAATGTTTTCAAAACAAACTGTTGTTCGTGATAAGAACTTGCTACCAGAAACACAAAATACATCTCGGTCCGAATACACTAACTTGCTAATATAAAAACTTGCAAATTCATATATGAAACAATATGTAACAATGATGAAGTTATTGCCAAATTGATAATATAAGATACCTGAATATCACTTATTCGCCTTTTTAAGCGCATTTTTAACGACGTTTTTCAATACTTTCAACTTTAATTTGTTACATGCATAGAAAGATCAACAACAAGTGAAAACAACCACGACAGTCGACTCAGAAAATATAAAAACCTGTTTGTCTTTGGAAATGGAAGCAAACCCGTCTCTCACTGTAGATTTATTATTCTGGCTCTCTTCTCTACTAAACTACAAGCTTTAAAGATATAGTTTTATAGATACTGTAACATTATTGAAAACTATAAAGCTATGGACGCACCACTGACGCTTTGCAAAACAATTAGTCGCGTCCATATTGGAAAATTTTTCGTAGCGTTTTCGAATTACTTTCCAATCTCTTTATGAGGAAAAACGCGCAATGAAACCCCAGGCATGTTTAAACGCTGCCSGTAGAGTTCAGTTATATAGTTTCAATAGCTTCYCAATTGTATCAAGCTCTATTTATAAAAGATTTAAATATTTCCTCGGTCGCTTCTTTAATTCGTAACTTTTAAGGATAGATTCGGATGCTAGAGCTTTAACAGTTCACAAGTAAATTCCCCATGTCCCTATGTAGTCAAGGCTGAGCTTCTATGAAAAATAATTCAGCAGACCGCTTCATCACAAAATATCAACCGGTACTTGATTTGATAAAAAGAACTCGGTCCGTTTATTAATTAATTTGGCTTTCAACACTTTCATGTAGTTTTGATGCACAGAACAGGTGAATACCTAAAATAATTCCTAAATAAAAATAAAAGGCGCGCCTTAATAAAAAAAAAACTYGAGTCGTTAATTTGAAATAGCTACAAAGAAGCTAAAAATGTTCAATTTGGGAGCGAACACTATGTTATGTGTAACAAGTAGTACAGGATTATATACTGCTCATAGTTTTAGTTATTAGACAATAGGAAACAAAGGAATTACAGGTAATCTTAACACACTTTTCTAACCAGCTCAACACTCCTATGGTGTTATATAACTGTTATATAACGCTAGGGAGGGGAGGGGGCTTGTCGAGGGCTGGTACTCGATCTCCTATATTTAGTTATTATATGTGCCCAGGTTACAGTTGAATTGAGCTTTAGATAGGCCTGATGTAGCTATAATTGATAAAAACTGATACTTTCACAAGTTTTTACTGCTGGTAATTATTATCGATTGTTCATCTTTTCTCTTCGTCTTGCCGCTGACTCATCACGAGTCCTCTACCTTTTGAGCGCAAGCGACTAAGAGGAATTCCACATTAAAAACACTAGCAATATCACAGTAGAGCCGTCTCAAAACACTAGCAATATCACAGTAGAGCCGTCTCAATGGGGTGGTACGCATCACGACTMACGGCTAGAAATTTGGCGATTTCACGACTCACGACTAATTTTTTCGAATCACGGTTAAGTAGATTACTTTAAGAAATTTTTGAAATACGTTTTTCATTACTTTTTCATAATTTGTTTTATGCTAGAGATAGTGAGTGTGGGAGCACAGTGTACCAGAGCTTGAACGTTGTACGGGCTTGTACGTTATAGACCTCAGTTATAACAATTTTTTATCATCACTCTAAATTGTCAAATTTTGTCCATGCCCTGACTTGTCTGCAAGACCTTGCAATTACTACCTTGTTGGTAGTAAATTTTGACATCTCCACTAAAGCTTTTATTTTTTAAATTTACAACAACAACAACAACAAAAAATTACAAGCGCGCGTCTGGAGTTGACTGTCTCTCTGAAGGACAAAACTGAATCATGGCTCACATAAAAAAATATTCACGCCTCATGGCTATTTTTTTCGCATTTTCACAACTCACGGCTAATTTTTCAGACGTTTCACGGCTCACTATTAACCGTATTGAGACCCTCGTATAAGTCACGCAGTCTATTCACGGAAATATTTTCCAAGTCTCCTTTCCAACTCAAATTCAGAAAAAGAGCCTTTACAGAAGTACATAACCCTAGTACTTCTGGCCTTTAGTATTGTAAATAAGTGCATTTGAGTTTTAGCTTTTTAACGTTTTCCATCCGTCTCCTTTTTCGGGCGAGTTGGAAATAGGTCGTAGAAAATGTCCGATTCAAATCTTGAAATTTAACAGAAATACGGAAGAAACACACACAGCTGATTTAAAAGCGTCGAAATCAATAGTTAAAGAAACGAGAATAGTTTTAGGTAGTTTTGAGTTGTAAAGAGGTCCGTGAAAATGTCCCTATGAATACTGCGTGACTTATTGGTACAGACATGGACTTTTCTCTTTCAAATGATTCATCATAAATTCATACACAAGAAACATAACAGGTATTGAGAGCATAGTAGTGACATTGCTGCATTCCATGTCTGACATCGAAGTAACGAAATTTCATTGAGTGCCTGGCTAAATATGCATGGTAAAATCGGGAAGTTTAATGCAGCGTATTCATATTATTATTTGACTCTAAACAACATTGTAGTATTTTAAAATTGATATCTCATCGAATTACTTTAAAATTTCAGAATATATACAATGTCCGTACGTTTTTTTGTCAAGCTACCTGTTTCGCGAATTCCAATCTGCAATTGCGCAACTATGAACACATAAAAGAACATTGTCTTCCCCTTGAAACGTCATTTAAACGTTCATGACCTTGATGAATACTTCCACGAATGAATGAACGTGACCTTGACATCTAAAAAGTCATTTTTTTATCCTTTTTGTGACGAAAGGCATTGTGGGGCCTCTCGTTACTATGTCATGATGTTGAGTAGCATCCACTTGTAGCAGGCGTTCGTTGCGAGTTCTTTAAGCTGAAAAGAGAAAATCACTAGATATAAAAAAAGAAAACGAAGAGAAAACATCAAAGAAAAAGACTAAATGAAAAAGAGCAAAAAAAGGAGGAATAAAAGAAAACTAGCAGCAAACGCAAAAGAAACAATACGCAAGCAAAAAAGAGAAATTCCAGCAGCAGGACTCGAACTCAGAAGTTTCACTTCAGGAGAAGATGCACCCCCCGGAATACATAAGAAATAATAAAAATAAAAATCTAAAAAGATGGGACGATTCCCCCGAGACATTCTATGAAGCTGAGGCGTCGAATCGGCTTACGTTACGGTTAGAGATTTCGGCTCTTCCACGCTATCCCGAGTGAACATAAAACTTAGTCTTAACCAAAAGGCCAGGGAGTGAGGGGGTAGCCGCCCACTAGAGCATACCTTTAGCTACCCTCTTAGACCATCGTACTATGAGGACACTTATAGATATCATATCTAATTGGGGTAGTCTATTCGATGAAGATCTATGCTAATATATGACGTCACCAAAATCCAAAGGGAGTAGCGAGCCAATCAGAGCTCAGCTCAGGAATTCAGAGCAAACGATACAGGTTTGCATAATCACTCTTCAGTAGATTTATTATTTGACGGGGGTGGGGTGGGATGGGTGCTGAGTGGTAGTTTGCGGCCGAATACAGATGTTCGGTGAAATGTGACGGCTTTCACCAAGCTGTTCAATTGTCGTTATTGTTGTCCAAATCATCACATTTTAAATTAGTTTTATGGTTCTTATATCAGACAGGCATTACTAGTATTCGGATAAAAAAAACACGACAAAATTCTCTTGAAATTCTTAAGACCAATACTGGCTGTTGCCAAAGGTTTGCCGGGATTCAACTAAACACAATTAAGACCCGTCTGAAAACTCCAACATTACACTCGAACGTCATCCACATTTCGATAAAGTTTACAAATGTATTAATATTGATTATCAAATAATTATTGAATATAAATTAGTGAGTACTAATAATTGAAGAGAATGAATGATAATCCGTATAAATCGTAAAATTAAAAATTATTTTGACTCCCGTGCCAAGTCGATTGTATACTATGCCGAGCGGCGAAGATGGTTTAAAAATTGTCAACTGAATTTGGTCGAAAGGAAAACTATCTACACCTAAATACAGTAAAGTATCTTTGATTAGACTGGATTTACATTTTACTGCTATTTTGGTGAATTATTTTGACTCCCGGACATATAATTTTTGAAAAATCTCCACTAAAGCTTTTATACCAAAAAATATTCACGCCTCACGGCTAATTTTTTCGCATTTTCACGACTCACGGCTAATTTTTCAGCCTTTTAACGGCTCACGGTTAACCGCATTGAGACCCTCACAGTAAGAAACAGAAAATATCCTGATGTTGCCATTGCTTTTTATTGTTTTTTTTTTAAATATATTATATACTTTATTTATTACATTCATTGGTCATTGCATAGCCAATGCAAAATCATGGTGCATTGTGGTCCATTATTCAGTACAAACAACACCTTTTTTCCGACGCAAGAACAAAATATTGCTCAAAAACTAGTCTCCTACTGACTATTTCATGGACTAAGTGTCGGCGAAGTGAGGGACATGGTCAACCAGCATTCAATGCGGTCGTGTTTTAGATTTTTCATATAAAGAAAATGAGGTGAATTCGCAATCCGTTCCCGGTTTAAGGGTCGAATCTTGCAGTATCTCCATTCATAGAGCATAAAGGGAAAATAAAGAGTAAATTTTGCTTATGTTAAGATGTATTTTTATCTTCAAAAATGAGCAAAAGCTCGAAAGGGATGCTGGTGGACCATGTCCATTAAGTGCAACGATCTTGTAGCCTATTGCAGATATACATACAGCTATTAAATTTTAGAAAACGTTGAATACTGTATTGCCGCAGAGCATGGAGCATTCAAACACCGCAATACATTCTTGCTATCAAAAATTAAAACAAAAAAATRAATAATAATAAAAAAAAATAAAAATAACTGCATGCTGATTCATTTCAAGAAGTTGCATTCGTCGTTTGAAACTGGTCAACGTTTTTAGATTGTTTGATGTTTTACAATAGCGTCTATGCAACAGGCATCTCTTCATCTTGACTCTGCTTTACAATGTTCAATTTTCTATCTTTGTGTGTCATACGGATTAATACTTGGAAGTCTAGTTATTTCGGATGATATCTGTCTCTTTGTGCTGAAATATAAAAAGAATGCAATCGGTAAATAAGGATGCAATCTTGTGATCCTCTACACTCTACTATAAGACAAAGTCTGTAGAGGGAAACAGTCTCCCCCAGCTATGTATAAGACGAATGTATTTTACCCAAACTCCATTTCGGTCTAATTAGTCCCTTATGGTCACGAGACGGGCAACAACGCTCAATTACTGGTTTCCATATAATCGTTACAATCGCTAGGATCGCCACGATCGCCGAAAATTTCAACGATCGTAGCGATCATATGGAAACACTCTCCAGCGATCCTGGCGATCCTAGCAATCTCGATCGCTGGAATCGCTCAGATTCTATCTCGGCGATCGAGGTTGCTAGGATCGCCAGGATCGCTGGAGAGTGTTTCCATATGATCGCTACGATTGTTGAGCCACATTTTCGGCGATCGTTGCGATCCTAGCGATTGTAACGATCATATGGAAACCAGGCTTTAAAAGAATGCATACTGCAGGCCCCGTTGTTCAAAGCTCGATTAAAAAAATCTATGGAGCTTTGGCTTTGAACAACAAGGCCCAAAACAAAATAAATGGGCTTCCTGTGGTGGTACCTGATGCTGACAGATCACGTGTGCAATGCGTGCAACGTGCGTGGATAAGCTTCTGAACGTCGGTAAGAAAAACATGAAATCACTGCTTTTGAGTCCAAGCTTTCTTTTTAAAACTAAAAAAAATAATTGGTCAGTCGATAATCAATCAGTCACCATGCATAGGCTATCGAGAATCAATCAATCAATCAATCAATCAATCAATCAATCAATCAATCAATCAATCAATCAATCAATCGATCGATCGATTGAGTCCAAGCTTTCTTTTTAAAACTAAAATATAATAATTGGTCAGTCACAGGCTATCGAGAATTAATCAGTCACCATGCATAGGCTATTGAGAATCAATCAATCAATCAACCAATCAATCAATCAATTAATCAATCAATCAATCAATCAATCAATCAATCAATCAATCAATCGATCGATCGATCGATCGATCGAACCAACCCACCAACCCGCCAACCCACCAACCCACCAACCCACCAACCCACCAACCTACCAACCAACCAACGTACCAACAATCCAATCAATCAATCTTCAAGCCTTGAACCGAAGATGCACCCTTTTACCTTCATCTCTTTGGCCGATCACGACCAAAAAAAGCTTTATCCCTTTCTGCTCCAATGCCTTTTTTGCATTAATAATATACCATACTCTTCTTTGAACAGCTTTACGATTGGTTATTGCGACTATAGAGCGCTGTGGAACATATCCTTGAGCTTGACTCTTAACTAAAGCCTTGTATGCTGCTCTGAGGCCAATATCAAGACGCTGGTGGCTACCTCTTCGATGAATAGCATTCTTGATGATTTTATCGACCTCTGAAAAATTGTCCAGACCTGAAAAACTGATGGAAATCATTTATAAGTCAAGTAGAAAATAGGATCGCACAGTATGCGATTTAATAGTAAACTGATAAATATTAATATGATCACCATCGCAACCATCATCAGCATCATMATCGTCATCATCACAATAATCATTTACATTGATTAATAATAAAAATCAGAAACTCGTAAAAGGTTGAAAAGTATTCCAAAATTCCAAAATCATGAGTTACTGAAACACATACAATGAGAGAATATTCACAAAAAAATAACGAGTAAAATATCAATAATTTTGATTTGTAGGACGCCATTTTGTACCAGCTTATTGCCAAATAAGGTATCAAAAATGAATATGCTAATAAGATATGGATCTAACGAGGCATACTATACTACTTTTATAAGTTTCTGTTTTCATCTTTGCGACTCCTTACTCCATTACTACATCAGCTTTGTCCGAATAAGTTACGAAACCAACTCGATTTTGATGCCTTGAGATGGTGAACGTGCTGATAACTTGCTTGACAAACTGTTTTTCTCGTTTGAAGTCCCATCCTTTGACTTCATTTGATCCGTCGATGACGAAACCAAGGTCCATCGATACTGGACAGTGTCTGAGGTGGTTTTGAACTAACAAAAACGATACGATTGTTAGATAATAAAATGAATTCACTACATATCGATGAAATAAGCCGTACCTTTTCCTTTAAGCTCGATTCTCATAGCAATATGGTTATGCCACGAACAGGGGTATATCTGAATAAAGCGAGCTTGGATGGGCGGATTGATAGTATTCTTGACCACAGTGTTTCTGTCCTTATTCCCACGAAATATCTGTACAGGAAAATGAATCAGAGAGGTTGAAATGAGAGCGAAAAGCGCAAAAAAGTACAAACATCATTTCTTTAGCACTTCGTCTTCAATTCTCTCCTGCGTGGTAACTTTATCATCCGAAATATCGAAAAAGGGCCAATCAAAACGTGAAACCAAAAACAATTACGTTTCGCAACAGTACATTTATTGTATTTTATGCTCTGGGATGCTCAATTTGTCTGTGTTTTTTTTAACTTTATTGGAAAAGTCAAGAAAACGGAGAGATTACATCTGAACGTAGACGGAAAGAAGAAATGGAGACCAGGAGCGGATCCAGGATTTTCCTCAGCGAGGGGTGCAGGGCTCTCAGGAGGGGGTGCACCCCCGAAAAAATCATTACTATGAAGATACAAAATAAGGAAAGTATTGAAGGATACAGATCTCAGGAAGGGGTGCGCACCCCCTGCACCCACCAGCTGAATCCGCCCCTGGAGACACACGGAAACGAAGTTGCCAATCGCTAGCAGGAGCATATTGTACAATGGGTACGGAATTCAAACTTAACATCAATCCCAGGGCCTTCCTAATCACTATTTACAAAATGCCTGATAAAATTGTGTGAAAACATAGCGAGGAAAGAGACCATGTGGACGATGTCGAGTTTGCAGCAAAATCTTACCACACCAAATCCACGAGATTTATACACTCTGAATTTAACCCCATCGTCGCTGAAGCCTATAGTGAACTGTTTGACCCACTGATCGGCATCCTGTCGTCCTTGGGTCAACACCTCGGTCAGTGTAGTTGGAGCACCTAAATCCACCTGAATCCATTGATTACCGTCATCGTGCTTGGCGGCCCACCCCCCAGCGCTGTTCAAACGACCAAGTTGGGCACCATGGTAACCATCCCTTTGAGACGAAGCTGAGATGGCGGTATCGGGTATCCATCCATCGTGGAGGCCAAGGGGTTCTCCTTTTTCTTCTTTGACCACTTCCTTCCTGATTTCTTCTAGTTCGTTGATGAAATCTTCTTCGTCGATAAGTTTACACGAATTAACTGCCCAATGAGAAATTCTTATCTATAAGTGGTTTTAATAAACAACTACCAAAACACTCCCTTAAGCCCTTTCCCCCCCCCCCCCCCCCCCCCCCCCCCCCTCTCAAAACCTCGTTCCTAGGTTCTTTTCCCAAGTCCGCCATTTTGAAAAAAGTGAGTAGAGAAGCCCTGTGAACGAGGTTTCAACCATCTAGTTTCATCTAGTTTCTAGTCCACTGGACAGATTGTTTCCAAAATAGATAGATGAGCGAAATAGATGCGTTTTCCACACGTTATAAACGGAAACGATTCTTCTGCAGTTGARCTCCAAAACGTRACCAAAAAGTTATTGTTTTGCATCAAAATAACTCATACATTTAGTTACCAGTTGAATTGTTTTGAAARCATCGATTGTTTACGGCTTTAAGCGAGATTTTTCAGGGGCGAAAGAATTAAGGACTGCAACTCTCATCAAGCTTTGTTGTACAAAATGGCGTCGCTGCACATTGCCTATTATATTGATTGCTTTCCATTGAATAATTGACTGTACTGAGCTGTTATAGTCACTCAGAACTCCCCCCCCCCCACCCCGCCCTAAAAAAACTTTTTAAAACGGCGAGAGTACGACCAACAATGCATTTCGGTCTTACACATTATTAAAAATAATAACTGTAACTTGAATATATAACAAAGGGCAACAAGTACAACATACCTGCATAACAGAAACATGACACACTGTAAAAAAGATAAATTCGTCAAAAATCAAATGGTTTACAAAAACACAAATAAACGAGTTTCGTACAACTGTGAAGCAGTCTAGCCCATGTCCGATGTCTAAAAACGTATCCATCCCTCATAGGAAAACCGTTATATGGGATTTTTTCGTGGGTTGGAGTTATATGTTTTTTTTAAACAAAACTGGTATATTATGTGTTCAGAACACCAATCCAAGCTATAATATTAAGAAGAAAAAAAACAGTCAATATTCTTTATCAGAAAGCTAAAATCACAATAGAAACTGTTGCACCGGGACTTAGTTCGAAAGAAATCGTTGAGATTTGGGTTTTCCTGCGGCTTAGGGGCGGAGCTTACTACAAATAAACCAAAGACTTTACGAATTTACAAAAATTCCCCCCTCCCACCTCCCATAGTACAGTAAAACCGCAGGAAAGACAACGTAAGAACTCGTAAAAGTTGAATGTTTCCTCTTATAGCCATTCTTTACTCTTTTTGTCACTATATTAAAAGTTGGCGTTCTTAATCACAAACTCCTGCAATTTAATCCAATATTTTTCACCATCTAATAATTGTTTACAAAAGAGAAAATGTTGACAGGTTTCTACTGTTGTCCAGTTATTTTACTAATCATTTGGCTTGTCTTTAAGGTAACCACTATTATTTTTTCATTCTATGAGAATACATACTCCAATTTTACTTATCGTAAAAATTGAAGTCAATGAAACAGCAGAAAACGAAGGATATGTGCGAGAAATTCTAGTATTTAGAGTTGTGAAAAATTTGCACTATAAAAAACAATAATTGCCACGATAGTATATWTCAAAATAGTTTCTAAAGAATCCATTCAATACTTACAAGAAAAACACACCAACCAGAGCTCTTTTATCTGTCATGGTGAATCTTTACGGATCAAAATCCCTTTATTAGCACCAGCKTTTTGCGTGTGAAGTWAAAAAAATCGACATACTATGCTATTGTAAATACTTTGAAAAAAGATGTTAACACCAGAAGCATGACGTTTGTTTAAACAAAACAATCGTAAAAACACGAYTTGAAGGTCACGTTTGCCCTAGATCTCACTCACTCCAAGCACCTATTCTCTTCTCCCAAACTCCACACCTTTTCCTTCATTTTGTTACAGAAACATTGCTTATTTAGAACGTTATTCTTACTGATAACGAAGGATCTTGGCAACGGGTTGCCCCCCATCGTTACCCAGTCTTTTTCTACTGGTTGTTTTGTTACGATGATGGATGCGAATCCTTCTTCCTTTTCAAATAGTCATCTGGATGCAATAGTGATCGCAATAGAGTGATCGCACTTGAGTAATCGCACTTGAGTGATCGCACTTGAGTAATCGCACTTGAGTGATCGCACTTAATCCGTGCAACTGTACAAACTAAATAGTTCTATTTAGTTCTATAGAGTTACAGCAAAATCTTGCCTCTTTGATATTATATATATAACTAGCTCTACACTTTATGTGTATTGAGCACTCTTTAATGGGATCAGCTACTTCCTCATACAATTATAGTTCTATTTAGTTGTATTTAGTAAATCGAGCATGCGGTACGCAAATTAAATTTGAATTGATACAAATAAAGCATTCAATACTGTCTTGCTACAGGTCCACTTTTAGTACAAATTAGTACTACTTAGATTTTGTACAGTTGCACGGATTAAGTGCGATCACTCTAGTATGAGCTGCRCCGGTGTTTCTAAAGAAACAGTTGTGCTAAAAGATAAAATTAACGCCGTAAACGAAAAGGTGAAAAAACGTCCCAAAAGTCAGTAAGTTGTTTCACAACTGATACTGAGAGTCAACYGTGTATAAATAAAAGTATTATCTTATCTTACTGGGTAAAATAGTAAATATTTCAGTCATCAGAGAAGTCAAAACTATGGAAATCACAAAGGCAAACATTAGCCAATTTTAAATTAACACAAACTACTTTGATCAGTTTAATAAGCCTTTGACACACAGCTTGAATATTCAACTTACAGTATGATACAATAAGATTTTAAGCAACGTTTTCGAGGGTCCTGAAGGAGAAAAATGAATGGGATTTCCCATTTTTTCTTTTGGAAAGATGGGAATTCAGTCACCAAATTCTAAAAATGGGAATTCTCTTCAGGACCCTGACTTTTTTACCAGTGCGCCTGAGAACWAAACAGTTTTGCCAATATAAGGATATAATGGAAATGCAGATCCATCTATTTCAATGAAATAATAATAATAATAATAATCTTATTTTATACAGCGCTTATACAAATCTGCTCTAAGCGCTTTCAAATTACCAACAATTACAATGACAGAGTCATGGTAGACTGCGAGCTTAAGATGGCGCCTCATGGCTGCCGCTCTTAGTCCGTCCCAAGATATCAAACTTAAAAATTACAACAATAAAAATTAAAATATAAATGACACTACAAAAAATACATACAAGGAATAAAGAAGCATGCATGATGGCCGGTGGCTCAGATGAGCTCATTCGCCCTTTGACAGGTCTTGTTTTTAGTCCTGCTGGGTGTACATGCCACCCTCCTCACCAGTTAGACTGGTGGGGTAGCCGGTTTAGACGCCGACGACCCGTCCATGAGGCAGGTTGTACTGGGTTACAATGTTACCATGAAATGTACTTGCTTTGCCCTCTAAACKCAGATACTTTGACATCACACGATTACAAAAATACCTACATTTATATGGGTCCATTTACATATGAAAGAAAGAGCTAAATACAATAATATATGTACAAAAATATTTTCTTAAAAATCATTACCAAAATACAATGACAATAGTAGTAACATTGTACAGTCAACTCTCGCTATTACGGACACCGTCGGGACCGTAATTTAGTGTCCGCAGTAGCGAGAGTCCGTAGTAAGTCAGTCATTTCTTTGTATATTTTGCCGGGGATTCAGTATTTTGCTGTCCCCAATATCGAGGTGTCCGTCGTAGCGGGGTGTCCGTAAGGCGAGAGTTGACTGTAATATTGATCTMTGCCTACAGAAGATCACTCCATTACACTTCTACCTGATCAGTTGATGGCTCATTCTTGCTGCTGGGCCTTCCTGTATCAAAGAGGGGCCCAGCAGAGTGATATATAAAATCACACCACCTACTACCAAACTGTGATTTACTTTCAGAGAATCTTCATAGGTAAATGGTGTAAACATTATTTTTGTCATTTCAAAATTAATGTCCAATTTCACCACAGAAATTCTGTTTTTTTTTTTTACATATTTTCGATATTTATTTTCTTTGAGTGGCGTAACGTGTAACCGTTGAGACACCATCAACGAACTTTGTCTTGAAAAGTACGTTGGCGTTGTTGAACATGCCGTCCTTCAGAGAGACCACGATGAACTGAGAGTGCCTGAAGTGAGTTCTCAACATAGACCCAATATTTTGCGTGTGAGAAAGGTCAAGGGCGGCATCCACTTCATCAAGGATGTACAGAGGAGCAGGTTTGAAAAGCAGGAGAGACAGGATTAGGGAAAGTGCGACTAAAGACCTGAAAGGTAGAATATTAAATAAGAAATGAATTTAGATTTCAATTGTTGCCTACACAAGCAAATTCAAAATTCATTTCCCTTCTAAATCATTCATTCATTCATTCATTCATTCATTCATTATTAATTATTATTATTAATTATTATTATCAATTATTATTATTAATTATTATTATTAATTATTATTATTAATTATTATTATTAATCATTATAATTAATTAATTAATTTCCCTTCTAATTTATTCCCCTTTTAAAACACAAATGTAACAAAAAACTTTCAAGATAAACACTAACTATGATTACAGTAGCTGAGGGCAGTTGAATAATGTCCTTCTCCTTTGACAAAGAAACACGGAGACTACACTTTTTATAAAGAGAACAATACATGTACATCATACCGTTGACCACCGCTAAGTTCACTGAGACTTTCTTTCCAAACAGTYCCAAATCCAACCTTGACTTCAAGACCGTCAAGCTCTGTTTGACCYTCTGGTGGAGCAAGTTTRGCTGTWGCACCAGGAAGAAGAGTGGAAAATATCGAACCAAAATCCTGAAAATTGATAATGAAAATTCAATAACAGGATCGGTGCTTGTAATCATTTATGCRTTTCATCAACTACTGTTTTATTTACCAATAAAAACAAAAGAAAGCACTTTAAAAAGGTTAGTATTTTACCCTGTTGACTTTAACCCAAGCATTCCTCAATGCCTCATTCTTTTTCTCATCGAGTTCTTTAATGACAGCTGCAATCTTGTCTTTATCATTCAATACAATCCTTTTCTTCTTCATTAAGTCATTATACTGAAAATAAGATAACAAAATTATAAAAATATAGTAGCACAAAAAAAGTCTCTAAACAAGTAAATATTTGTCCCTCTATTACCTTACACACACTATCTCAACAGTAACAAAATTGCTTTAGCACGTGACACTCTTCACAGCTATATGTATGCATTACACATTCACTCACAATACATCTAAGGAAAAGGAAACTACAAGCCTGCATGCAGCCAAACCAAAAAMGTTTTGCTTCAACACGCAGGCTAAAAGAAGCCTGTCTTAATTAACTCTAGCACTCAAAAATACCAAATACCTTTTCTTCTGCCTTTTCCAACATATTCATTGCTCGCATATTGACTTTCTTGGCAAGTTTTTCTTTAGTTTCCTGTAGCTTTCCAAGTCGTTTACTTATGTCTTTCATGTCATTGGCTGCAAAGTCATATGCTGTGTTTGGCTTGCCAAAAAAACGCCTTTCATTTTGAATCCATTCATACTTTTGTAGCATACTCTCCACCTGTCAACAATTGGAAACATCAGTAAACACAAGATGTATGGTAGAATCTGGCACACTGTTATCCTTCATGAGTTTGTTTCTTGTGATTCGAGGAATAAAACAATGCTCATTGTTTCCTTGTTCTTAAATCCTATTGTTTTCTTTTATTGAATAAATAGCTAGTTAACTAATTGGATAAGCTCTTGCAAAACTGTGAAAGCCTACCCCAACTAAAGTCATGTGAGTCCAGTCTTTCTAATGTTTGGATAAAGAGATGRTAAATTCAGCAATATCATGTACTTTAATTTATATAAAATGCACCTTTTGTGAAGCTTCTCCACTCTGTTTCTTTAGTTTGTCAATGTTGTGAATTATGTCCTTTATTTCTAGCTCTATTTTATGGTTCTCTGACTGAAGTCCATGCTTAGCAGATGCTTTGGTGCTGATAGCCTGGCAAAGAAAGCATGTCATAGTTGTGTCAGTCAATGACAAGTGTGAAACACAACAGAGAAATCAAGTTGCTTTAATACATTTAAAAAAACAAGTAAATAAAGGGAAAATACAGAGTGATATGGCAATTCCAGCATTTTTAATAATCTCCTGGCATTGGTTTGAATTGTAAGGAAAGAAGGTAGACTCTCAATAGTCTCGTTCACGGTTACCTGCGCTATCTTGAAAGGTAGCCGTGCATTTACATGGAAGCGAGACAACTGTTGAGTGTGCAATGATAGAAACCTGCGATTGTCTGTAGGTATGAAAGAAGGTTTCTATCATTGCACCCTCAACGGTCGTCTTGCTTCGATGTAAAGGCATGGTTACCTTTCAAGATGGCGCAGGGAATTGTGAAGGAGACTATTGAACAGAGCAACTTSTGTCAGAATAAATTTACATGACCTTACCTTTTCAAAGACATGAAGTGCTTCTTTGTGCTTGTTCAACTCTTGTTCTGTTTCTTTTACATTTTGCTATCATGAATTAAAAATTAAAGAGTAACTTATTATAAACATATTCATTTATGTACAAATATGCATTGTTTTATCTACATGTATTCTAAAGGTGTCTTACCTTGGTTAGCTTGGCCTTCTCTTCAGCCTCTTGYACCTTCTCTTCGATCTTTGCAATWGACTCCTCAAGTTTTTTCAACTTGATTTTATAAAAATGACATTTTAAATGACAAGTTGATGGTATTTTGGAAGCCAAAGCTCAACAAATGAATTCACACATAATAATTTTTATTACCTGGTCTTCGATATTGKTGGATTCTTTGGTAATTTCTTCCATTTCAAGTTTTAGTCCTTCAACTTCCTGGAATTAAACAGTGACAAACGGTTTCATAACAGTCCAAAGTATCCAATTTATACAATATACAGTCATTAATTAATAATGATACAAACCTGTTGTTTGGCTTTGGTTTCTTTCACACTTTGTTCTGTCTTCTTTTTAGCTTTGTTGAGRTCATCTTCAGCCCTCTTCAATTCCTTTTCTCTGTATGACTTGGCTTCCTATGAATATATGTGACATATTGACATCAAATCAAAATAAACAAATTCCAAAACAAAACAGCCTACTATAAGAGTGCTAAAACACTCAAAGTACAGGTAGAAAAGAGCTGTTTTACTGGTTATAGATTCACTTAAATCCTATTGTACATAACAGGTAACTGTACAGACTATTGCTCCTTTACTTTTAACACTTTCACTCCCAACTGACCATAGCCACCCAGCTTTTAACATCATATTATTCCTGAACCAGCTATAACTGACTGACGCGAGCCCTCTACTGCCTATGCAGCAGGGTCAATAATAGCTAGCTTTAACACTGTAAAAACAACATACTGACATTTTACTTACTGTAAGTTGTTTCACTTATTTTTTACAGTGTTAAATTTATCTTTTTACACAAATGTTTCTATAAAAACACTAACATTTAGCTCACATCAGTTTACTGCTAGTTTCCACCATCAATAATAGCTACATTAAAGCAACTGTATGTATATAGTAAGCATACAGTAAACTAGCAAACAACAACTAAAACAAGGAATCCAAGAGTAACAAAAACACTTCAGCAACCTTCATTTTCTCCTCCAAGTCTTTATACTTTTCTGTGGCTTCAGTTATTGTTTGTTTGGCTTTGTTGATCACTTGCTGTTGTTCCTCTGAAGTAAAATGTTCAATTAATATTTACAGTATTCACAATATGCGATACTCTGGTTCAGTGACAGTGAATAAAGCATTTAGCTGAGATGCCAACGTACAGTGAGCATAAAAGAAAACGATCTGTGGACATTGTTCCCTGATGCCTTGGTTCAATGCTTTGTTTGTAGTCACTGAGCATGAGTATGGATAGTTATGAATGTGAAAAAAAGTTGAGTGCTTTTAAAGAGTCCTGATCAATGTACTGTACATTGTAATATGCCAACGTACAGTGAGCATAAGAGAAAATGATCTGTGGACATTGTTCCCTGATGCCTTGGTTCAATGCCTTGTTTGTAGTCACTGAGCATGAGTACGGAAAGTTATGAATGGGAAGAAGAGTTGAGTGCTTTTAAAGAGTTCTGATCAATGTACTGTACATTGTTATATCAACCAAATTTGCCTGGCAAATTGCGACTTGTTAGCCTGGCAAGAAACAGTGTCAGTGCCTTATTGTAAATGGAGTCTGTGTCAACAGTGACAATGCTCTAGCTTTGTATATCCAGTATATAACTGGAGGTATGGGTGAGTTTTCACCTCTAGGAAGATACAATGCAATAGCCTTGTTCAAAACAGAAGAAAAAGGCAAAAAGTGTCATTGTTCTTTTAAGAACAGCACAGCCAATCAGAGTATTCGTTCCCAGTGAGGTGAACACTTGCCCAAAGGTACACTGTATTTTGTAAGCAACATGATTTATTCGATCCCAATATACTGTAAACTTACCAACAGTGTTTTCCAAAGCTTTGACTTCTTCTAGCTGTTGGTGATGGGAAGTCTGCTTCAGTCTTTCTTGTGCAAGCTCAGCCTCATGGACCTTCAGGTCATACTGCTCTTTGAGTTGTTGGTATCTACAAAAACAAATAATATGCTCTTTAAACAGRCACATTTTCATACTAATGGWACATTTTAGCCTCACAACCTTTAMAGGCAACTCTCTGTGGSATTCCTGTGTTAATGCWAAAAWAGCTGCCGGAGGRGGAGKGGGTTAGGAAGGAAGGAAAAGCATCATGTTGTGTTCRAAGCATCAGTCAACATCACTTACTTTACTGCCACATTTTTGCAGTTTTCAATCTCTTGCTTTAATTTCTGCAGTTTATTCTCTATGTTCTTGATCTCATTTTGTGCTTGAATTAATTCATCAAACTTGGAAAGTAKGGGTTTTCTTTTCTCCTTGGAGCCTTGAGAAAATAATGGTATATTACATTAGGCCATCCATGTAACCTTCTTCACTGATTCCAGGAAGACCAGGATAGGATGAAAGGATTGGGAATTTAGGCCAAGGGATACGCCGTTATTCCCGTTCAAAGCGAGCGACCGCTGATTTAGAAGACAACAGACTCACGCAGAGAACTCAGAGACTCACACAGAGACATCTCAGGAGATTCAAAGCTTTTCGACAGTTTACTGATGTAGCAAGAACCATTTAGTCATGTAATGTGTGGGAAGGATCAATGGGTCTTTATAATACAGGGTTCGTACAGATTTGTTCATACAAAATTCAAGGACTTTTCAAGAACTTTTAGTCCAGTCAAAATACAATTTGACCTAGAACTAATTGCAACAGAAGGTTTCTTTACATAATCTAACTCCGAAAAGCATCTAAAACAACATACTAAAAGTCTAATTCAATTGAGGCATGGGAACGTTGTTAAAATTGGACTCATTTATATGTATAACATGAAAGCGAGGCTGAGAATCGGGAGTGACTGTTTTTGACCGTTTACGTGGGGTCTTTTAATCAAAACTTGTTAAAATAATTAATTTGTCTAAAACAAAACAAAAACAATACCCAAATCACTCGATTTGACAATATGAAGTAGTAAGTATATCTATCTTCAACTATAGCATTTAGTTTGAACAGGATGCTACAGGCCGATTGTTGCAAAATACGTACAATATTGCATTTGTTTTTAGTTCAACTTTTATACAACCTAGCTTTATTTCAACAGCGCATTCAAGAGTGATAGGCTATCTACTAAATAGCTCAGGGACGGATCCAGG